ATACATAGAAAAATGTATCATATTGTAGCAATACAGTATGAGGAACTGCAGGCTAAAATATTGTTACACAGTGTAACAACAACAGATGATGGTTCTCAAACTGGATAGGAATAAAGGACAGTTTATTGGACAAATAATGTTAAAATATAAAATATATGAAAAAAAATAATAAAAAATACATATAGTTAAAAAATACACATCAGGAAAAGTTCATATAAATGTTACCAGATGGTATGATGTCAGACCTATGAAGAGACCTTCGGATTAGATAAGGATGGATATAGATTGAAATTCTTGCCGCTTATGATGATACCGCCGGAGAGGACAGCGTGTTCGTTCACCATGCGTCCCTGCGGGAGCCTCACTCCGGAGGGACGTGTGTTGTGAGCGGCTTCATTTCAGTAAATAAACCAACAGGTCCTGGAAGAATGCTGACTGCGAATAACGTGCGTGTGTTAAATCTGGATCCTGATGTGTGTCCAATAGTCTTACGCGTTTCGTAGGTGTACCCCTACTTCTTCAGAGACGGATGGAGAACCAGTGCTGCAATAGTGCTTTATATACATATTCTACTAATCAATCAATGTGATTTTCTATGTATCCAATTCTATATTTTACATAATGCAAATTACGTAATGGCATAATGTATAGACAGTAAATATGATATAAAAAAAAAAAAAAAGAACAAAATGTGTGTATAGAAACAAATTATATAAAAAACAGATTATACATACAAGGTCTAATTATACAATTATAAGAACATATTTTATCACTTAGTATTAAAACATTCCAAAGAACAACATTTGATAATGCAAATATAGATAAAATTAGAAAGATCAAAAACATTTTTTACAGGAGAAATAATTGAAAAAGATTCCATTTGATAAACATAATACTGGGAAAAGAGAAACAGGGTTAGTTAAATTATATATATTCGGACATGATATAATGCCTTTAGATACATGACCCAAATGCATGAATCAATCGAGATTCATGTGGTATGTGGGGGAACAGGAATAATCATATAGCCAAAATGTATATGTGTATACTAAAAAATAATAATGAAATAAAATTAATAATAATAATAGAATAGAAATAAAAATAAATATGAAGATACAAATAGAGATCAGTATCCAATTATACTAATAAATAAAGAGTGCTATATAGAATCCATACGTATATGTGTGTAGGTTCCCAAGATCGTGAGAATATAAATGATGTAGGAGTGATGTACTCAATGTATGTATATCTAAAGTGAGGTGCCCAGAAGTCGGTCTGGACATTAGCAGGGTGAACTATAATGGCAAAAGTGTCAAAGTGAGTAGAATGGGGTGTTAATACAATGAGGGTGAAGTAATGCATCGTGCAGAACAGTGTGGGCATCATAAAAAAAGGGGGTATTTACACATATGCTAGTGTATTATTATAAAAAATTTTTTAATAAATATAAAAAAAATGAGGGAAAGGAAGATGAACACTAAAGTGTGTATCGGTATAAGATAAAAAGAGGAATAAAGACATAAATATATGAGTATAAAAGTATATATATATATATATATATATATATATAAAACATTTAGATATATATAAAAAACGTAAAAATAAAATAAAAATAAAAATGGGGTAATAAAATTGTTATAAAAATGTGTTTAACTCAAAATCTATATTAAGTCCCTTAGGGACTAAAGTGTCCAACTCAAAAATCCACCTGGCTTCTGTCTGATCAAGTGACTTATCAATACTACCTCCTCTCCAATGTACATTAACCATTTCTATAGCTATAAATTCTAATCCTATGGGATCTCCCCCATGTATCTCCTTGAAATGTTTGGAGAGATTGTGGGTAAGGAGTCCTTTTCTAACATTCCTGATGTGTTCTGCAATGCGTACTTTCAGTGGTCTTTTAGTACATCCAATATAATGTTTTGGGCAGGGGCACGTGATTAGGTAGATAACTCCCATGGTGTCACAACACGTTACCCTTAATATTATATTCTTCTTGTTTACTTAGTGATGTAAATTTAGTGATTAATCCCTCAGTTGGACCATTATTTTTACATCCAAGGCATGTATTGCATTTTTTTTTTAAAACCATGGGTGGAATCTTGATCTGAGCTATGTATATAGGATTTGATAGTGGGTGCTAACATAAGTTGAAGATTGGAGGCTCTGGTATATATGATATGAAGTTGAGGGTCAAGAAATTTGGTGAGTATTGGATCATTTTTGAGGATTCCCCAATGTTTTCTGAGAATCTTCTGAATCCTGAGATTTTGATGGTTGTATTTTGTAATAAAGCTAGGTGCAAAAGTATGCAGTTCCTTGGTCTTACCTTTCTCACGTAGAGTATCTTCCCTCGGGATGGATAATGCTTTCTCCATTGCTTCTTCCAGTAATTTTGTAGGATAACATTTATTTTTTTTATATATATCTAAATGTTTTATATATATATATATATATATATATATATATATATATATATATATACTTTTATACTCATATATTTATATCTTTATTCCCCTTTTTATCTTACACCGATACACACTTCAGTGTTCATCTTCCTTTCTCTCATTTTTTTTAAATATTTATTATATATTTTTTATATATAATAATACACTAGCATATGTGTAAATTCCCCCTTTCTGATACCCACACTGTTCTGCACAATGCATTACTTCACCCTTATTGTATTTCCACCCCATTCTACTCACTTTGACACTTTTGCCATTATAGTTCACCCTGCTAATTTCCAGACCGACTTCTGGGCACTTCACTTTAGATATACATACATTGAGTACATCACTCCTACATCATTTATATTCTCACGATCTTGGGAACCTACATACATATACATATGGATTCTATATAGCACTCTTTATTTATTAGTATAATTGGATTCTGATCTCTATTTGTATCTTCTTATTTATTTTTATTTCTATTTTATTTTTTATTTTTTATATATGTTTATTTTCACATTGTTATCGTCCAAATAGCATACATTAAAAAAAATTGCTGTATTACAATGAATTTTTTTTTTTTTAATACATATCATATCAATAGCTATTGTTTTATTTATTGATACACAAAGTATTCAAGTCACAAAAATAGACACAACAAACTCTTTCATAGTCATACTAAATTTCCATACATAGAGAGGATACTTTTGGGGAGTCGGTGGGGGAGTTAAGCTTTTGTACTCAAATATCTAACCCAAGGGGCCCAAATTTCATCGTATTTCTCTTTGGATACTCTGTCCAATGCTATGCCTGCTTCCATCCTATGTTGAAAATCCACCTGTTTACATATATCACACCAATTCAAAGGACCCATGTTTCTCCAATTTCTAGCCATAACTATTTTACTTGCCATAAAGATATGAATCATGAGAATTTTAATTTTTAAATTAATCCTTGGCATATCTAAATGGAACAAAAACATTTGGGCAGTTATATCAATTTGTGCCTTAATAATAAAATTTACAAACCCAGATAGAATTGATTTCATAGGGTTCAACTCCTCACAACCCCACCATATGTGGGGGGGTGGGGGGAGAGACTCTAATGCCCTACCACATCTCCAGCAATCTGGTAGAAGTGTAGATTAAAATTTGTGTAGACGAGTGGGCACCAAGTACCATCTATAAACAAGTTTAAAGTAAACTTCCTGTATATTTACCCCATGTATGTACCTTTTTACTAAGTGTAGGCTCGATAAACACTCTTTGAGCGTAAAAGAAACTTGAAGTTCTTGCTCCCATTTAATCCATGCTGATGCTTTATCTATTTGCTTTTTTTTTTTTCAATTTGACAATTATTTTTTTTCCGAGTGTGCGTGGGGTACAGAAGACAAAAGGGGTAGGGTTGTAGCAATATCACCATCATACATTTCCCATCGGTAAAGTACGTTGTTATACATGCTTAAACATCAATAAACATCATTATTTATCGCCTCCGAACAAGGTTTGTGGCTGGTATTGCTGTCTATCTAATGAGGTGTGCGTGGTTTGTTCGGTCATGCTGCCTCAATTGTCTATGCGGCCCCTTGCTCTAAGTCTTCTTTGTTCTTGGTGCTCCTGAAAGCACAGCCTGGTGTGTGCAGTAAGGCTGCTACTAGGGGGGAGGTGGTTAGATGGGCGGGGGAGAATGGGGGGGGGTTTGTTACTTTCCTCATCTAGCCCCAGAGGTTTCCCCTGGTGAGCCTCATTAGCCCTTAGGCTCCCTTGATTCATTTGTGTCGCCTGTTGCGTGTTATTAATGCTTCACCATGCTGTCTGGCGGCTAGTGAGTGTTCTAGCTGTCTCCTTTTGTTAACATTGGGTGTCTACTAACACAACTATGTACAATGTGGGTGTCCTCTCCCTTAGTCCTGTCCGTTAGGGGTTTCGTGTGCCCTTTCCTATAGATCTGTGGTCGCCTCTTTTGCTCCTGAATCTCTGCTGCCTGCTATTGTGTAGCTGATTTATTCCTGCCTCTACTTTCTTCGTCGTGTCTTGCAAGGAATTTTTCCCACTCCTGTTTGGCTCCTGTTCTATACTCCTGTATTGTGAGTCCTGTGTGTATCCTTGTCTCGTAGTCTATGTTCGTTGTGATTTGCTGAATCACTGCGTCTATGCTCGGGGTTTCTGTCTGTTTCCACGCTTTTGCAATATGTAAGTTTGCTGCGATTAGTATGTGAAACATTAGGAAGGCTTGAAGTTTTGGGAGTTTGTCTAAGTTCATGAAAAGGAGTCCACATTCCGGCTCTAGTTTCCCCGTTTGATGTAGAGCATTTGCAATTATGTTGCTTATTTCCTCCCAATAATCTGTGATGAGAGGGCACTTCCACCATATGTGGTACATCGTTCCTTCCTCCCTCCCGCATCTCCAGCAATTCTTAGACGTATTGGGATAGATAGTCGCTAGCCTGGTTGGTACCATGTACCATCTGTACTGTATTTTACGTATTAATTCTAAGTGGGAAGCGCATCTGGATCTGCCTCTATGTGCTATAAACACATTTTGCCAGAGTTCAACTGTTAGTGTTTTGCCTATGTCTGTTTGCCACGTTGTTTGGAACTTTTCTCTAACCTCGCCTGGGGGGTCTGACAATAACTTGTATAAGTTGGAGATCAGTTTGTTTGGTACCTTCCTGATTGTGCAAATTCCCTCAATGTTCTTTGCTCTTTTAGGTGTGGTAACCTCTGTGTCATGTTCCAGGAGTGACTTGAGTTGGAGGTAAGAGAACAAGGATTGCGGCGGTAGGTCGTATCGGTTCTGGAGGTCTGGGAATTGCATTAAGGTGGTATTATGATAAAGATGTTTGACTAACGTACAGCCGCCCCTTTCCCATGGTTTGTAATTGAATGAGGGGTCAGCTATGTGTATGCTCTGTATCGGGGTTGCTAAAGACCATTGTTTCGTGTATCCCAGCTGAGGTTTCGTGGCATCCCACGTCCTCAGTAGGAGTGCTGTGGTATCGGGTATGCCTGTGGGCTTGGGGCGTAGGTGGTGGGGCATCCAAAATAGGTGGTGTAGCCCTTTTGGGCATGTCCACATTGTTTCTATGTCTACCCATTGCAGTCTATCTTCTACCTTGTGTGTCAGCAGCACCGTGGCTATTAGGGACGCTTTGTAGTATGCGCTCACATCTGGTAGTCCTAAACCCCCTGCTGTCACTGGTTTCCGTAGTATTTTAGTTGACACTCGGATTCTGCGGTTTGCCCATATAAATCTATTTAGTGTTTGTTGGAGTTTTTGTATATATTTGTTAGGCAGTGGTATCTGTAGTGTGCGAAACAGGTATTGCAGTTTGGGCATCACCATCATTTTAATGGCTGCTATCCTGCCCACCCAAGACAGGTATTTGTCCTCCCATGTTTGTAAAGTGGCGATTATCTCGCTCTGTAATTTCCCGTAGTTGTGTTCATGGAGTCCGGCTATCGTTCTAGTTATCCGTAGGCCTAGGAAGGTGATGTAGTCATCCCTCCAGTCGAGGGGGAATGTGGCTTTTAGGTGTGCTGTTATGTGTCCTGGTACCCCTACCCCCATTGCCTGCGTCTTTGCGACATTAAGCTTATAGTACGACTGGTCCCCATACAGTCGGATCTCCTTCAGTAGGTTTGGCAGTGACATTAGGGGTTGTGTGAGTGTGAGTAGGATATCATCCGCAAATAGGTTCGCTTTATATTCCTTTCCCCCCACTCTCACACCGTGTATAGAAGTATTTTCTCTAATTTTCATCGCCAAGGGTTCCAGGGCTAGCACATAAAGCAGTGGGCATAGGGGACACCCCTGTCTTGTCCCGTTAGTGAGCTTAAAGAGATCAGACAGGAATCCGGAGTTCAGCACCTGCGCTGCTGGTGCTTTATACAAGGCTTTTATGACTGCCACTATCGTGTCTGGGATCCCAAACCTCTTCAGAACCCCTTGTAGGAATCCCCAGTGCAGACGGTCGAGGGCCTTTTCTGCATCTAGGGAGACCAAGATCCCCCCTTCGGTGTGATTACGTATCTTGTGCAGTAGAGTTATGACCTTCCTGGTGTTATCTGACCCTTGCCTCCCTTTGATGAACCCCACCTGGTCGTTGTGTATTATGTGGGGTAGCACGGATCCCAATCTCTTGGCGTATATTTTTGCTAGTAACTTTGCGTCCGTGTTGAGAAGTGATATGGGTCTAAAGTTCTGTGGTGTTGTTGGTGTCTTGTTCGGCTTCGGAAGTGTCACTATGTGTGCTAGCAATATGTCGTTAGGGAGAGATTGGTTGAGTATTGCTTCGTTAAATGTTTTAACCAGTTGGGGTGCTAAGATCGTCTGGTAGGTTTTATAGTAGGTGTTGTTAAAGCCGTCTGGGCCTGGTGATTTTCCGTTTGGCAGGGAGTTTATCGTATCTATCATTTCTTGGGTTGTGATTGGGTTGCTAAGTATGTCTTGTTGCTGTGTTGTCAGCGTTGGTAGCTGAACTCCCCTTAGGTAGTCTGCAATTCCCTGTGCATTAGGTTGTGTGGTGGCGGCATTATCTTTGAGATTGTATAGGTCCGAATAGTACCTGGCAAATACATCACTAATGCCTTTCGGGGTTGAGACCTTTGTCCCTTTGTGGTCTATTAAATGGTGAATCTTTTGGTTTGTTTGTTTGAGTTTTAGGCGGAGTGCTAGTAATTTGCTGGCTTTGTTGCCCTGAACATAGTGCGTAGTTCTTAGTTTGGTCATGTGTCTGTTGACCTGGTCTATGGCCTGTTGGTGTATGAGCCTCGCTATGTGGGTTATGCGTTGTTTTGCTGCAATGGTAGGTGAAATTTGGTTTAGCATGTTTAAGTCATATAGTTCCTTTTGCCAACCCTTAAGTTGTGTTTGTGTTGTTTTCTTTATGTATGCTGCTCTCCTAATCAATAAGCCTCTCATGACAGCCTTATGGGCTTGCCACACCAGTGTGGCTGTTATGTCTCCTGTGTCGTTGTCCTCAAAGTAAGCCCTCATCTCTTCTGCCAATTCCCCTTTAAAATGTCTGTCCAGCAGTAGTGAGTCGTTTATTTTCCAGGGGCTACGGTGCTTGAAGTCATAACTATCTTTAAGCTCTAGTGTTACCGGGGCATGATCAGACCACGTTATTTGGCCTATGTCGCAGGACTGCAGTTGGTTCAAATGAGAACCCGATATCAGGATGTTGTCTATCCTGGAATATGAATTGTGGACCGGGGAGTAGTGTGTAAATGCCTTTTCGTCAGGGTGTGTGATTCTCCAGGTGTCGTACATGTGGTGCGTGTGTAGGAGTCGTTGTATGGCCTTGCATTGTCTTTGCAGAGGTCGGTGTCTACGGCTGTGTGGGGGTAATGTGGTGTCCAGTTTCGGGTCTAGAATGTGGTTGAAGTCCCCGCATAGTATTGTAATGCCGTATTGAGTATTCGCTAGTTTGTGAAGGATTTTGTGTAGAAAATTCCTTTGATTAACGTTGGGTGAATATATGTTAGCGATCGTGTACTCTATGTCATTCAATGTGCCTGACACTATGGCGTATCTGCCATTTGGGTCTATATCTTGGCTGTGAAGGGAGAATTTGGTGTCTTTGCTTATCAGTATAGAAGCCCCTTTCGACTTCGTATTGGAAGTGGAGTGAAATTGGTGTGGGAAATCTGCAAGCATCGATTTAGGAAAATCATCTTTGCGGTAGTGGGTCTCTTGTAGACAGAGGATGTCAGTGCGGATTGTTCTGAGTTCGCGGGCAAGGAGGTGTCTTTTTGCGGGGACATTCAGTCCTCACACATTATATGTGCATATTCTCACGGTGGTCGTCTGTTGTGGGTTTGCATGTTAATTATTGAAGCGTGTATTAGTGCGTGGGTCCCTGCTGAACAGGGCGGTCCCTAATGTTGGTTGTGCTGCACCCTTCAGTGTAGTGGACGGACATTGGTCTTGTCTAGCTTGTGTTGTAAGCATCATGTTTTGGAGGAGTGGTTTGGGGCTACCCACAAGCCCTGCAGTATATGCATCAACATTTGTACATAAAACATAACATGTAACAATCAAAAACATTGACAGTATAAACTCCTGAACCATTTTAGTGTGTGCCTCTAGTTCGGCTTGGCACTGCTTGTATGTGCCGTGGGGGTTGAGGCGACTACCTCTGTCCTGTGAGAGCTTCCTCTCTCGAGCGCTTCTAAGTGGTGCCTAACATAATGAAACCCTGCGTCTAGTAACATATAATTTTTTTTTAATATTTTTTTTATTTTTTATATACAGTTCCCTCTCTCATTTTGTGCTAGTCTTCCCAGTTATGCCCTATTTACTCCTCCCCTTGGCCCTGTGTTACTGGTTATTCCTTAACGCATTTGTCCCTCGTTTAGCTTAGTAATGGGACGACCAATGCATTATGTTTCGTGCTCGGGCTGGGCCTTGTTAGGGCGAGGTCTTCCCTCAGGTGATTTATTCTCGTCTAGACCTTTAGTGTTCCCATCCACCTCCCGAACAGCTTCCCAGCCTCTCCCGCTATCAAACGGTACATTACCCAATCGGTGTGTCATAGTTCGTGCTAGTAACTGTTATTACAAGGCGTGGTACTGTGGTGGTTAATGTCGGTCTACGGTCTCTTAAGTTTTCTTATCTTCTCTTGGTTTTCTTCCACTCCAGGGAGATTCTGGGTACTTCTGGGTCATCGTGTGTGTTCGTCGCTGGGGATATGTCCCAGGTTTTCAAGATTCGTACCCTTCTTCAGGCGTGGCGATTACCGTTGTCTTCATCCTGCTATGGGTGAGTGGAGGTTCCCCTTCCTGGGGCTGTGTGGCAGCCTCGTGATCGCTGTCGGCGCCATCTTGGGCCTGGTCTGGCGGCTGCCAGTGTTTGCTCTGTGCGGCTCTCGCCGCAAAAAAATTAGTTTTTTCCTGTTTTTCCGTGGTCCGCTTGCTCTTGGGCTGTGACATGTCAGCTGCAGGTTGGTTTAGCTGTAATTTGCTGCAGGTTAATTGCTCTTGGAAGCCTGCTCGAGCGGAGCTCTCAGCTCATGCGACCGGTGCGCTCGGCGTCCAGGACACGCCCCTTATCTATTTGCTTTTGATTTTTTATAAAGTGATTAAATCTAGAAGCAATCTAGAAGCAATTTTTTTCCTATAATGGAATGCTATAAATTGATCAATTGGGGAATTTTCAGAGAATTCTTGGTCTTGAGGTTGTAAAATTATCACACATAATTAGATGTACTGTCATGTTAGTCATATATAATTTTTGTACATCCGGAAAGGAAACTCCTCCCTCACTCCATTCTCTCTGTAAATTTTCCAGTGATACTCTGGGTCACCTATCCTGCCAAATATAGTATGAAATCTGTCTTTGAAGACCACGTATCGTCTGGGAGTCCACCATCAGCAGGAGATTCCTAAATAGAAATGTCAGTTTGGGAAGTAAATAGGAGTAAACTGCCTCAATTCTTCCCATCCATGACATTCCCCTCCAGGTTTTAAGAGTACTTCTAAATTGGGTAGCTATTTCTGAATAATTTAGTACTCAAATTTCCCTATATTCCAATGATAGAGTTACTCCTAGATATTTTATATTCCTAGCTCCCCAATCACACTTAAAATCCTCTTTAAGCATTTTTTCCCCCTGCCCATTTAGACCCTTAATCAAAATTTGTGTTTTCTTTATGTTTACTTTGTAGCCTGAAAGTTTACTAAATTCCTTAATAAGGCAAAATACTGCTGGGATAGATCTAATAGGGTCCGTAAGAGACAGGAGAACATCATCTTCATAGAGTGTGATTTTATTCTCCAGAGTATTCACCACAAGCCCGCTAATGTCCTCACTCTATCTTATAGCGGCTGCCAAGGGCTCTATGGAAAGGATGTATAGCAGGGGTGCCAAAGGGCATCCCTGTCGCGTCCCATTTCTAATTGGAAACCAATTTGATTGAAACATGAATCCAGAGACCCTAGCCTGGGGATCCTTATATAATGCCATAGTACATTCCTTAAAAACGCCATGTATGCCAAAGGCCCTCAAAACCTCTTCCAGGTACTTCCAACTAACACGGTCAAAGGCCTTCTCGGCATCAAGAGTGACCAAAGCAAAAGGGGACGGACTTTGACTTGCATGGTATAAAACATTCATTATTTTCCTCATATTATCAGGCATACCCCTGCCCTCCACAAACCCGCTCTGATCTATATGCACAATATCTGGTATAATTCCTTTAAATCTATCGGCCAAAATTCTAGAATACAACTTAATATCTAAATTGATAAGAGAAATTGGCCTATAGTTCAAAGTATATGCTGGGTCTTTATCTAATTTGGGAATTGGCATTATGGAGGCCTGAAGCATTTCTGGTGGATTTACTTTATGAGTAGCAAATTCATTAAATGTCTTCAATAAATATGGAGAGATTATACCATTTAATTTCCTATAAAAAAAAACGATGAAAACCCATCTGGACCTGGGGCTTTACCCACTTTTAAAACGCTGATAGTATTACTAATCTCCTGTATTGTGAAAGAGCTGTTTAACGGAGTTAATTTCTCATTTGATATTTTTGGCAAATTTAATTTATCCAGAAACTGCTGTATTTCCCATTCAGAAGGCTCCTTAAGTTTTAGATTATACAAACTTCTATAATATTCTTCGAATGCTTTAGCTATTTGAGTTGGTGAATAAAGTTTTTTATTTCCATGTATGATATACTTTATAGATTGAACTTTATTTTTAAATTTATTTGAAAGATTTTTTCCTGTTTTATTATTACTATAATACCATCCCTGTTTTAATATTAACATTACTCTATTTTCTCTTGAGTTCTTACCACAATTTTTTTTCTAATCTCCTCAATGACCCTATGGTCCAAAGTAATCTTATGGAGTCGCTCCAATTTAGCCAAATCTATATTAAGCTCGTTCAACTCTCTTCCTTTCTGTTTTTTTATATTAGCACCCAATTTTATAAAACATCCTCTCATATAAGATTTAAAAGTGCACCACAGCATAGCGTTGGAAACATCCCCTGTATCATTGTTCTCTACATTTATATTCAACATTGTTTTTTATTTCTAAGAGGACTGGTGCATGATCAGACCATATTATAGGTCCAATATTGACCTTAATAACTTGCTCTAATATATATATATATATAACCAAAAAATAGTCAATTCGAGTGTATGACTGATGAACATTTGAAAAGAACGTATAATCTCGCTCTTCTAAATGTTGTATTCTCCAACAGTCATACAGACGATTTTTAGCTAAGAAGATCTGCATCATTGATGAGCCTATTCTTTGACTATCAGTTTTGATTAAAGGACCACTATAGTGCCAGGAAAACATACTTGTTATCCTGGCACTATAGTGCCCTGAGGGTGCCCCCACCCTCAGGGACCCCCTCCCGCCCGGCTCTGGGAAGGGGAAAAGGGGTAAAACTTACCTTTTTCCAGCGCTGGGCGGGGAGCTCTCTGCCTCCGATCCTCCTCCGTTCCTCCCCGTCGGCTGGCTGCGCGCGCATTCAGCCGGTCGCATAGGAAAGCATTATCAATGCTTTCCTATGGACGCTTGCGTGCTCACTGTGATTTTCACAGTGAGAATCACACTAGCGCTCTAAAGCGACTGTCAATGAGACAGCCGCTAGAGGCAGGGAAGGCTTAACCCATTTATAAACATAGCAGTTTCTCTGAAACTGCTATGTTTATAAAAAAATGGGTTAACCCTAGCTGGACCTGGCACCCAGACCACTTCATTAAGCTGAAGTGGTCTGGGTGCCTTAAGTGGTCCTTTAAAGGCTTATCTCTATTCCTATCCAGTTTAGTATCTATAATGCAATTAAACTCTCCGCCGATGATCAGTCTTCCAGACGACACTATGTGGGAGTTGATTTGGAGCATATGCATTTACCAGAGTGTACAACAAATCATTTATTCGAGCTATAACTATTAGAAACCTGCCCCCAGGACTGGTCTCCTCATATTTCAGTCTGTCTGAGAAGACAATTGCTACCCCCCTTTTCCTATTTTTTCCAATCAAGTTAGAACTGTGTATCTTTGGAAATTTTTTATAATTCCATAGTTTAGATGTAGAATTTATCCAATGTGTCTCCTGTACAAAACCAATATCGGTTTTGCTATCAATTAATAAATTGTATAAGTAGCCCCTTTTCTGTCCTGAGTTTAAGCCCCTTGCGTTGATTGATAATATGTTAAGTGACATCTTGCCACTGTTTCCCCCACCCCCTCCTCCCCTCTAACCGCCTCTCATTTAACAACCGACACATACATTTACCCTTACTATTTCAATTCGGCCATTTAAATTCTAGCCTCTTGAAAACACTCCACAACAAGTATTCTAATCGAACAATCATTCCATTATATGAAGTACTTCTAAATAGAGTCTTCATATTTAAACCTGCTACCGTCGCAGGACCCCGGACCAGGAAATTAGTTAAATATTCTATGTTCTAAACCAATATATCCTCTTTATCAGTGACGCACCAATACTAATACACAATAATTCAAAATCAGCTCCTCCCCCCACCTGCAGATAGCTCACTATTATACCTTTTTATATTAATTTCAACTTATCTAAAACAGTTTCATTTGCATTCACATTTTAATAATCAAAATTCCTCTTTCATCTTTCTAACCTCTTGCATCTCACATTATCTCCTAATGTCAATATTCCCATTATTTCCCTAATGTTGTGATTTCAATTATCATATTAATTTAAGTGAACTATGTATTCTTAACTATATTATGTAAATGTGCCAAACTTTATAACTTTATTTTACTCATTTTCTATCAACTTCCACCCTTTATTTTCCTTTTTAAGTGTAACTAACGAGAAAAAATTACACCCACATGTGTTTATTTTATACTTTTTAAGCCCTCCTTCTGAAATCTCACATTTATGTAAACCATTTCCTTTTTCTTTCCCTTTCCTCCCCATTCTCCCCCATTCTATCAAAATATATATTTACTTTCAACATATCTAAGTGTTCTCCATTGCTTTCATACCGTGCTCAATTCCCTTTTCATATATTGACAGTAAGTGAGATTGAGAAGAAAGAGAAAGAGAGAAAAAAAAAATATTCAACTTTAGGTGAGCTTCCAAGCTGATAATTTCTCTTTAAGTGCCATATTGTCTCTGAAAATATATGTTTGATCTTTGAAAAAGACCATTACTGCACTCGGAAACAGCCACTTATAACGTATCTCCATCTTCCTGAGAATTGCCGTCTCCTCTGAAAAAGTTCTTCTTGCTTGTCTTGTCTTCTGTGATAAGTCCTGAAAGAGTTTTAGATGCCGCCATTCTTTGTTGTCCAGGATCTTATTCCTTGCTTTCTGCATTATTTGGTTTCTAATTCGAAAACTCAAAAAGCAAACTATAACGTCTCTTGGATAAGACTTATCAATTCCATTTGGTTTAGGCAGTCTATGGAATCTTTCAAAAGGTTCTAGACCCAAAGTCTGCAGAGACAGGATGTTTGAAAAGAAGCTATCCAGATAAGAATGTAAATCTTCTTGTGTGATTGATTCTGGTATGCCTCTGACTCTTATGTTATTTCTCCTAGAGCGATCTTCAAGGTTTATAGTTTGGGTCTCAATATCTTGTATTTTCTTCTCTAGTTGTATATTGGATGATTTAATGTGTTCATAGTCTTCTTGAATTCTTTGTATTATAGTTGCTTGGCTTGAGATCTTCTCGGAAAGGACTGCAACTTCTGATCTGAGGTCATTTATATTAAGTTCAATATCATTTTTAATTTTTCTATGTAAATTATCCAACATTTAGTTAAGACTTGCTGCGAAATTCCTTGTGATATTTTCGGCAAGTGTGGGAAATCGTCTTCTGATAAATTAGATATTTGGTGAGCAGAAAGTTCATATTAATTTAAGTGAACTATGTATTCTTAACTATATTATGTAAATGTGTTATCTAGAGGCAAAGATTTTCGCTGCTTTTCTATTTCTGTAGATGCCATTTTTGGTGAGTAGTATGTACTAATTGTTGGTTTCTTTTTTTTCAGTGTTTAAAGCTTTCTCTTTTTTAGGAGCCATATATGCTGAAAAGAATATCTAGCTTCAATTTGATAAATTTTGTATTATTGCAGTTATCAGTTTGTCTTTGTCAGGATTACTGTTTGATCCAGCACGTAGAACTGTACAGCACGGATGACAAATAAGTAACGTATTACCGGTCCTTAGAATGGCCGGATTTAACGTACAAAGAATAGTCAAAAATACTAGCCAAGGTCAGGGAACACAGAAAGGGACACAGCCATGAGGAAAGCCAGGAGTCAGGATACCAGAATATAGAGAAGTCAATAAACAAAGCCAAAGTCAAAAACCAGGTAGAAAACTATAAACAGGAACGAGCTCTCGGACAACCACAAGGGAAACCACGACAGGGCACTGAGCAGGCTGAGAACTGAGCCTAAATACCCCTCCTTTCTTTCTGATAGGCTGTAACCGGCCTTTGACCCCAAAGTCAGTTACCAGGTTTCATTTGCATAATTGCTGCTCAGCATTAATCCTTCTGTGGATTAGATTGCTGTTCGGCACAACTTTTCCTGTGTGGACAGTAAATGTCATTAACCACATTTCTATAAGCGGATGAATACGTGACATTACCCCCCCCCCTGAAGAACGCCCACCGGGCGGACAGGACCAGGCTTGAGAGGAAATTTAGCATGGAAAGCGCGGATCTTACGGCCCGCATGCAGGTCAGGAGCCGAAACCCAAGAACGATCAGCAGGACCGTAACCTTTCCAAACAACCAAGTACTGTAAAGTGCCCCGAGAAAACCTAGAATCCACGATAGAAGATACCTCATACTCTTCCTGACCACCCACCTCCACCGGAGGGGGAGGAACACAAGGAACAGTATATCTATTGCAGACAAGAGGTTTGAGTAAGGACACATGAAAAGTGTTGGGAATCCCTAAGATGCAGGAAGAGCCAGAGAGTAAGACACTGGATTGATCCTACGAAGCACTCTATAGGGACCAAGGAATCTGGGGGCAAACTTCATGCTAGGGACCTTAAGCTTGATGTTGCGAGTTGACAACCAAACCCGGTCCCCCCACTTGGTACACCGGGTTGGCACTCCTACGCTTATCAGCAAAATGTTTGAAGCGTTCAGCAGCAGCCCCTAGAGCAGTTTGAACCTTAACCCAGGTATCCCGAATGGAGGCCAG